TCATTATTATGATGGCTATTAGTGCTGTCAAAGAAGAATCACCTAGATCAATGACAGATGGACTTTGATGAGACTAAGTAAACGGCATGAACTGCGTCAGGTATACCAGCCTCAGCAGCTGGCATCCAACAACCCCCTTGAGATCAACATCTTCAATCTTGGACCATGGGCATAGACTGCATCAGCATACACCTGTCCAGCACCACACACCATCTCATGTGACCTGAGAGACTGTTCTCACAGATGGAGCCTACAATAATGGACCTTTTAAGTGAGTTCAATGGACGTACGATAAATTTATCATGCTATTTTTTTTCCCTCTAAGTGTTCCTCATTCAAAATGCTGTAAAATGTAAGGGGGGAGGAGCAGCAGGATCTTAAAAATAGATCGCTTCAGATCTATTGAAACTTGGTTTCCTAAAAATCCTCTGGCTGGACCTTTCAAAGTCCTCATTACTATACAGATTCTGTGTGTTGAGAGGGATGAGCTCAGCTGATGAGATCACCAAGATATTTTCACAACTATTTTTTCCTTTTTCCTGTGTTTTCACAAAACTGGTGAAGTGTAATTATTTCTGAGCTGCTTCACCAAATCTCAGCTGAAACTGGCTAACATGGTCCAAAATTTACAGAAAGAGGGGATAGCAAAGCATAACTGGAATACACACAGACACAGTTTCTTAAGGAAAGCAAGGCTGGAAAATTATTGCCTAAAACAAACAAACAAACAAACAGTTCAATGCCTCAGTTATACAAACACAAAAAGATTTCTAATCCAGCTCTCCCACTAGTTTTCTGTCTGAACTGCAAGTCATTCTCCCCCTCAAAAATTTGATTTTCCTACTTGTAAAAAGGGGTAACAAGGAACAAGGTCAGCCTTTGTAATCCGGTTCAAAATCAAAAGATGAAAAGCACTATTTAAAAGCTATGACAGAGCTCAGGAAGTCAAATTTAATACAACAGAAATCAGCATTTGCCCAATAATTCCCATTCAAAACAGTCTGTAACCAAAGAATCATCAAGTAAATTAAGATTTATATTTTCTCTTTGTTTCCATTGCAAATTCCAAAGTAATATTCATGTAGATTACACCTTTTTTAAAAGAGAAACGTTCTAAAATAACTAGGTTTACCTCTTTGCCTTTAGTATCTCCATTTTCAATCCATTCAACAGTTACGCTTTCATTATCTTCATTTAGGGATGTTACCATAGCTTGGTGAATTCGGCCTAGAAAGGAAACAATGATGAAAGGAAACAAAAATGATCAATTAACAGATGGAAAAATTTTCCAGAAGTTATTTTAATCCCTGCACTGAGAAATGCAGATAGAGGCAGGAAAAAGAGGGTTAAAAAAAAAAAAAAGAGTGATAAATAGAAGATGATTCCTGGCCACATACTGTAAACTGGCTCAAATTTGATCCACTAGCGGAAGCTTTAACGGGACAGTCAGTGTACAAGTGAAAAACTCAATGAACAGAAAATTGAGTAAGTAAATAAAATACCATGTGAAAGCCACACCACTTAGACTCTTCTGAGAGTCTCCCACAGGTGGGAATGTTTCTTCAGGTGCGCTCTGCAAAGGATTATTTGTCTCCCTTCTAGGCTGATAGAACATTAAATGTCCCAATATAGGAGGGAAGCCCCCTGAAACTGTATTCTGATATCTATTTCTTATGGGCATTCAATCAGTTGGTAATTCAACTAAAAATAAATTGCCTGCAATTTAATACAAATTCTCATATTACAGGACGCCTGATCAGAGCATTGATAACTTTTTGACACAGGTGGTGGAGGAGCCAGCAAGGAGAGGTGCGCCACTGGACCTTGTGCTGACAAACAAAGAAGGAATACTTGGGGATGTGAAGGTTGGGGGCAGCCTTGGCTGCAGTGACCATGAGATGGTGGAATTCAGGATCCTGCATGGAAGAAGCAGAGCAAAAAGTAGGATTACAACCCTAGACTTCAGGAGAGCTGACTTTGGCCTCTTCAAAGACCTACTTGGAGGAATCCCATGGGTTAGGGCTCTAGTAGGTAGGGTGGTCCAAGAGAGCTGGTTAATATTCAAGTTCCGCTTCCTCCAAGCTCAAGATCAGTGCATCCCTATGAGTAAGAAATCAAGCAAAGAAGGCACGAGACCTGCATGGATGAGCAAGGAACTTCTGGAAAAAGTCAGATGGAAGAAGGAAGTTTACAGAATGTGGAAAAAGGGACTGGCCACGTGGGAGGAATACAGGAACATTGTCAGAGTATGCAGGGATGCAACAAGAAAGGCTAAGGCCCACTTGGAATTAAATCTGGCAAGGGATGTCAAGGACAACAAGAAGGGCTTCTTCAAGTACATCAGTAGCAAAAGGAGACTAGGGAAAATGTGGGCCCACTGCTGAATGAGGTGGGTGCCCTGAGGATGCAGCGAAGGTAGAGTTACTGAATGCCTTCTTTGCTTCAGTCTTTACTGCTAAGGCCAGCCCTCAGGAACCCCAGACCCTGGAGGTAAGAGAAAAAGTCTGGAGTAAGGAAGACTCTCCCTTGATCGAGGAGGATCGGGTTAGAGATCATTTAGTCAAACTTGACACCCACAAATCCATGGGCCCTGATGGGATGCACTGAGTGCTGAGGGAGCTGGCAGATGTTATTGCAAAGCCACTCTCCATCATCTTTGAAAGGTCCTGGAGAACAGGAGAGGTGCCTGAGGACTGGAGGAAAGCCAATGTCACTCCAGTCTTCAAAAAGGGCAAGAAGGAGGACCTGGGAAACTACAGACCGGTCAGCCTCACCTCCATCCCTGGAAAGGTGTTGGAACAGCTTATCCTGGGTATCATCTCTAAGCATGTAGAGGAAAAGAAGATTATTGGGAGTGGTCAACATGGATTCACCAAGGGGAAATTATGTTTGACCAATCTGATAGCCTTCTATGATAGCATGACTGACTGGGTGGATGAGGGGAGAGCAGTGGATGCTGTCTACCTTGACTTCAGCAAGGCTTTCGACACTGTCTCCCATAACATCCTCATAGGTAAGCTTAGGAAGCAAGGGTTAGATGAGTAGACAGTGAGGTGGATTGAGAAGTGGCTGAATGCCAGAGCTCAGAGGGCTGTGATCAGCGACGCAGTTGTTGGCCTGCAAATAGCGGTGTTCCCCAGGGGCCAGTACCTGGGTCCAGTGTCATTCAACATATTCATTGATGACCTGGCTGAAGGGACAGAGTGTACACTCAGCAAGTTTTGTGATGATACAAAACTGGGAGGAGTGGCAGACCAGAAGGCTGTGCTGCCATTCAGTGAGACCTGGACAGGTTAGAGCGCTGGGCAGACAGGAACCAGCTGGAGAGCAGCTCTGTGGAAAGGGACCTGGGAGTCCTGGTGGACAACAGGATGACCGTGAGCCAGCAATGTGCCCTGGTGGCCAAGAAGGCCAATGGCATCCTGGGGTGCATCAAGAAGAGTGAGGCCAGCAGGTCAAGGGAGGTCATCCTTCCCCTCTGCCCTGCCCTGGTGAGACCACATCTGGAGTAGTGTGTCCAGTTCTGGGCTCCCCAGTTCAAGAAGGACAGGGAACTGCTGGAGAGGGTCCAGCAAAGGGCTACTAAGATGATTAGGGGATTGGAGCACCTCTCTGATGAGGAAAGGCTGAGGGACTTGGGTCTTTTTAGTCTAGAGAAAAGAAGACTG